ATATATATATGCATATATGTATAAATATGTATATAAATATGTATATATGCACGTATATTTATTCATATATTCATATATTCACACACACACACACACACACACACACACACACACACACACACACACACACACACACACACACACACACACACACACACACACACACATATGTATGTATGTATGTGTGTGTGTCTGTATGGGTGAAATCATTATCATTATTGTTGCTGTTGTTATCAAAATCATTTTTATCATTACCATTGCTGTTGTTCCTTATCCTCTTATCAGCATTATTATCATATATACTTTTTCCATCGGTATCCTCATGATTATCATGATTTACATTTATCAGTGCCGATATTACATTATCTGCCAACTGAAACTTTTATCTTTTTATTTTTTTATTTTTGTTTTTAGCACTTAGTTTGAGACGGGTTCGGCTTTTATATATTTTTTGTATTGTTATAAACTTGATTTTATTATTATTATTATTATTATTATTATTATCATTATTATTATTATTTTATAAGAGTGACATTGTAGGTGGAGTCAGATTTTATGGCCGAAAGGTCGGCGTTTTTAAAGTGAGAGTCACGCTCCCCTCCATCGCCAGGATCCTTTAGCCGGAGGCCGCATCCCGGCAGCGCCTTCTGCGACGTTCCGTTCTCTTCCACCGACCCCGGTGCCTGACGACGCCTCGTCCTCTTCGTCTCCTTTTGTCGGACACAGAACAGGAGTTCGCCGCCCTGGGCTTTCCACGTGTAGAGAGAAAAGGAGGGGACTGTGGAGTCCGTGGCGAGAGCCCCCCAATCCCACCTAGACGCTGGCTTGCGCTTCGTCCTCTGCAGCAGGACACCTCAGCCCCAGCAGTTACTAATGAGTCAAGGAGAAAAGGGGGGAAGAGACCGTGGAAGACGGTTCGGCCCAAGACACCAGCAACAGCCCCAAGAGCGATTACTGGACCCGGAGAAAGGAGAGATGGGTGTCTCTGACAGGGTGACTCATAGTAGAAATTGCATACTAAGCACAGCAACAAATCCTCGGCAGTCTGGAATTTCAACAAGGAGCCCCAAGAGGTGACAGTTCCGGTGAGAATTCGAATCTTCGTCATCGTCTTTATCCACATTATTATATGTCACTGTCTTCGCAACCTTTATTGCTTTCAAACTTATCTTATATATTTAGGTAATTTTTGTTTGTTCATGTGATAAATCAGTAACTTAAGAAACTAAGCTGACGTTTCGTTTTACATTCATGCTAATTTGCAATGCATCATTCACGTTGAAACATATGATTAAACAATGGATTACGAGCCATTAGTTTTGCAAATTACCTTATGAAACCTATGATATTGTTATTGGATTATCATTCATTGCGTTCATGATGCATTGAAATTACTGCATTGCATCGTATAATTGTTTTTGATTTATGCAAATGCTTAGCAATTGCATTTTTAACACTGATGGAAGAGCGATGATGATAAAAGCGGTAGAGATGATAATGATAAAGATAACATTTCTATCACCGTTAAAATGACAATAAGGCCAAGTGTAATAATGACAACGATAATAACAATGATGATGCTATTAATGACATTAGTAATGAAAGTAATAATAGCTCGCATAGTGACAATGATAATGATAACAGCAATGAATGTTCAAGGAGAAATTATTATTTCCTTTATCATTTCCTTTCCTTTATCCTTGTTTTAATCATTCTATTCCATAAAAAAATCCAGCTGTTGTATCTAGCACTTTTTATTACATCACCAACATAAGCAACAAATGATATTAACATTTCAAAGCATTCAAATTTACTGATCAAATTTTCCTTATGTTTAAGAAACATCGCCAAACCATAAGAAAGGTATATATTCTTCCAATTCACCGCTATGAGACATGTACAGTATTTATTTATCTGTCTATTCATACATATACTTCCTAGAAAAATACTCATATCTCTCAAATATCCAGCTGGTATCTGAAGGTAGATTCAATGAAGGAGAATAATACACATAAATGCAGGAGATCCTTGTCAATTTTATTTCCAGGAAGATGTTTATACAGTAAAAGCTACACGTTGTACATGTAATTGAGTCTTAAGGAAGGAACGAACTTGTTTTATGGACGACAGTATCTTCCTTTACGCTTCCGAAGTAATCTTGAAATGTAACACGGAGATTTTAGAAAGAAGGATGGAGGAGGGGGTAGAGGGGATGGGAATTGGGAGGGAGGGAAGGGATGAAGAGTGGAGGAAAATAAGGAGGAAAAGAAAATATTGCTGCAAATGAAAGATAAGGAGATGGACGAAGACGGAAGGCGAAGGAGGAGGAGGAACAAGAAATAAATTACGATAACGGGGGAAGAGGAAGAGATCCAAAGGAATATCAATAATGATAATAATGATAACAGTAACATTGGTAGTAATAGGGCAGGTTTGGGTCTGAGTGAGTCAAAGTTAAGAGTTTAAAACTAGTCGCACAAAGGTGATGAAGCAGGCAGGACGCTTAATATGGGAGATGGAAACTATTTCGTCATACAGAAAGAGTGGTGCCTCAGTGTGGTATGGGCGGCTGAGTGAAGGCCTATTTCAGCATTTTCTCCATTTTCAGAGAGGGGGTTGAGGAAAGATGTCTGTAATGCTAAAGATGCAGTAGATGCGAAATATGGAGTCCATATATTTGGGATCCAACATAATTGTATAAGTGAACAAAAGGGGAAAGGGGGAACTGCTGTAGGATTCTAACAAGGTAAATTATAGTCGGCGGGCGCATTAGAGCATGAAATGGCCCCGCCGCTTCGTCGAGGATGCGAGAGGGTCCTTCTGACTTTAATCTGAGGGACAAGCAGGCGGAATGAGGCCCATTTTAAAAAGAAAAAAAAAATGTGTTGTTAGCGCAAATGCAGACCGGGAAAGAGACGTCAGGCCTCGTTATTGTGGTTTGTTAAAAACACGGAGGGATGTGAATTCCTCTTTTGATTACGGAACTCGATGGCAGAAACGGATACGAGAAGATAGACATATAGATAGATAGCGATTGCCTAAAGGGGGAGGGAAAAGGGTGAGATTTCATCAGTAATATTTCGCCATAGAGGGGAGACAAGTGGATAGACAGCCGGGAAGATAAAGAACTGGTAAAGGATGCGTGTAAAACGATGGTGAAACGGATATAGAGATGAATGGAAAGGAACATCAAAATGAAAAGATGATTGGTAATCGGACATATGATACTGAATTCAGAGGGATGGTAAGGGGAGACTCCGACTGCATTAGCGTGTGTATCGGCAAGCAATCCCATGTTTTGGCGTGTGTCGACAGGAAAATAAATAGTGGTGTTTTCTGGATCGTCTAACAAAAGGTTTCTTTCTTCTTTTTTCCTTCGGCTTCTTACTTGTTGAGCGAGGAGCGCGTGCGTGAAGCGAGTGTCATTTGTTTTCTCTCGCAATCGGTTCGTCAGGTCCCAGAACCCCTTTGAAATCTCTTAAATTCCCGTACACCATAAAAGGACACCAAATATTCCGAAAGTCGAAACTAGCTAATATTTCGATTATGAGTTACGAACAACAAAATTACGACATCGTATAGGTATTTGCTTACATTACAAAAATATATATCAACTGGCTTGATGGCACCGAAGGCATGAGATTCCTTCTGCATGTGACGTGGCCGGCCGATGCTCGTTCCAGATACTGGGCTCAGATGGACGTCAAAGCTAGGCTAAGCGGTGAGAGAGAAGCGCCTAAGACTCACGTTCAGGGGGAAAGTGGCCGTGAAACTACATGCCGTTCGAGCTTCACTTCACAACGCCGGTCTCTTTGAAGGGAGAGGCGGGCTCCTGACAAGCCGTTCAGAGGGGAACGAGAGTGTTAGGTGGTTTGCCAGATACGAGCATCTTTCAAGGGACGTAAAAGACCTTGATGGCGAGGACTGGTCAGGTCACACGAGCTGGCTACGGCGAAGGAGTTGTATATTATGCTTTGCCATCAAATGCTGTTCAAAAGTTTATACAATGGTACAAATAAGTCTTGACATAACACACTCAAAACATTCATCCTGGCTGCCACAAATATTATTCATTTATTTATTAAATTCGAAATGTCTCCCAGATCCAACTTCAAGGAGATGAACAATGCGGTTTTGTCGACTTTACAGAAAGTTTTTTTTTCAGACGCCTTTGGATGTAAAAGTTAAGATTAATTGTGATAAAGTTATGGAAACTTGGTAATCTCTCATACGAATTACGCCGCCACGCGCTCATAGTCGACGGGACAGGCCAGCTGGATATTGGCACCGAGTCCACCTGCAGAGTTCTTAGAAATACTACAAAGTTACAAGCTTGTGAGGAAAAAGTTTACGGACCAATATAGCTGTTGGATGTTCATCACTGGCCAAAAAGGTAATGTAATATAGGTGCGCCGCCGAGTAGAGTCCTTCAGCCAACGACTGGTCATAGGTGTGGCCGATCTCTGCAGCGCCAACAGGAGAGACGACGAAGGTGATGGTTGTGGTGCAATGATGAGGTACAAATGCAAGTCGAAACTAATGTTTTATATATGTGTGTGTGTGTGTGTGTGTGTGTGTGTGTACGTGCGCGCGCGCGCGCGTGTGTTTTATGTCTATATATATCACATACACATTCATATATATATATATATATATATATATATATATATATATATATGAATGTATATATATATATACATATGAATATATATATATATATACACATATATATATGTGTGTGTGTGTGTGTGTGTTTGTGTGTGTGTGTGTGTGTGTGTGTGTGTGTGTGTGTGTGTGTGTGTGTGTGTGTGTGTGTGTGTGTGTGTGTGTGTGTGTGTGTGTGTGTGTGTGTGTGTGTGTGTGTGTGTGTGTGTGTGTGTGTGTTGGTGTGTGTGTGTGGTGTGTGTGTGTGTGTGTGTGTGTGTGTGTGTGTGTGTGTGTGTGTGTGTGTGTGTGTGTGTGTGTGTGTGTGTGTGTGTGTGTGTGTGTGCATACATGTGTCTATGTGTGTATATATTCGTATGTATGCAAAGTACTACTTGATCTTCGTAAACTTACGGTTGTTTTATGTCTCTAGAACTGTTGACGTATACAAGGCAAGTCCATTTAAAACCAAGAGAAGAGGTTTGTTACGTCTGCTCCTTATTGTTCACGAGTAATACTCAAACCATACGGGGTCCTAAAAGGGTAGCATCAAATCAACAGCACTGCTGCTTTTTGGTAATGATATCAGAGCGAGCTCATGGCACCACGTATCACGTCTTCGCATCATAACAACATGAAAAGATACATAAGAGGTAAATAGTGATTATCAAATTAATTTCAGTCTTTATATTTCCGATACTTTCACTCTTAGCCTAGTGTGTAGAAACAACA